GGAAAACATTAAGCCCGAGCCGAGTTAGTTTATTACACCAAAATACTATTAATCAAACCTAAGGTTTCTAAACAGAATTATCCACTAACACGAGCAAAGGGATATTTTCACAAATTATAGCTTTGGAATACTGATGTTTCATACTATCATTCAACTAGTCTCTCTTTCTATAATCTAMCTACCTATACTATTCGATTATTACTATAAGAACCAGAGTTCCTTTTGCCTCAGCACCCATGCAGCTTCAAGCTGGAAGCCTGTCTGAGAAGCACTGGAGTGAAAGGAACTCGAGACAGAATGCTTTATACACAAAATCTAAGGATGAAAAAACCATTCTCCTTCAAACAAAACTGTTTTTATAAGTTCTTGAACAAAATGAATCAAGATTTCTGTATTTTCAGCTTGCTGCAGTCAAAAGTTACCAGCTTTGTCAAAAATGCAAAAATATAGAAGTCAATTTAGCTGTCTGGTTCATGCATGATAARAGCAATAATTAAATTAATAAAAGGACAAATATTCACACAAGAAAATAATAATAATTTTCAAAATAAGTACAAACCCCAAAAAATTTGGATTGAATATGGGCCTTATTCACGCGGCAGCCATGTTGGATTGAACAACAGATTCCAACACGCGTAGCCTCAAATTCAAGCGCTTGAGAATTTATTTATGCGGGCGAAACAAAAATGTTTGTATTCTCATGAGAATAAACATGGCCGCCGTCTGATAAAGGTCCATTCTTTTAAGTGAAATTTGAATTCAAAATTAAAAACATCATTAACACTCTTTCTCGCAGGGTTTTCAAAATACGTTTTTTGATTGTTATTTACACCATACTTGGAATAATTCATTWTTATTTTTTTTATCATTTTGAATCGTTTTAAGCCTAATTACAGCAAAAATAGATGGAGATTAGGTTTGCCTAACTACTCGTTTCGCAATGCTACATCAGCAAAAAGACCAAAAGTACACTTTCATGGCCAAGGCATTTGAAGAAACAAAATATGAAAAACTGATTACTGGAAAACACTGAATTATCTTACATGTTCGCAAGAAAGAAAAGAATAAAGTTGAAAGAAAATTTTAACGTTTAAAGGTATCCAATATTAATGCAATATGAGTTGAAAATATTTTTGGGGAAAAATTGCAATCCATTTTCATCAACTTTGCAAACTGATAGGTCAAATTCAAGTTCTTTTACATATATTTTTGATTATTTTTTTCCTTGTTTTTCACTTCATCTGGAATAATATTAGGTGTGATAATAGAGTTCAATATTATCATGATAAAAACAAATGCCATACATGCAAAAGATATTGGACACCAATGCATCGTTAAGATGCTTTAAATAAAGATCAAAAACTAGAGACTAGTCGTGCCAAGACTCTCTCTTGTGTTAATCTAGCCATCTTTTATTTCAATCTGTGCATGGCAATWTAAAACTTGAATGAAAAAGATCTTCTAGGTGTTGGATGGAATCATTTGGATGTGACGCCCACACATGCTTGGAACATAAGACTTTGGACATGTGAATCATTTCTTCATGCGCTAAGGCCATATAGGGTTTTAATTCACGCTTGTTACATATATACACCCTGACGACAGAGGGATAAGAACTTACTAACTTATGCCTAACATAAGTTGACCTGTACGAATACTTGTAAACTCTTGTTGCGGCATGAGGGTGGTCTTTGGTCTCTGTYGTTATATTTCCATTTGAAACTGAGGTTCGTCTCCTGGTGATCCAAAATAGAATGAAGAAAAATTTGTATCAATGCAACAATGACAGTAAAAACCAGGTAGACTCAAACAGGGAATAAGATTAATATCAAGAGCAATGTTCAGGTGAAAGAACAACACCAATAACAACAACAATAGCAGCAACAACAACAACAACAGCATTGGCAACAACAAGAGTAACAACAGAAGCAGCAACAACAGCAGCAGCAACAACAGAAGCAGCAAAAACAGAAGAACCAGCAACAACAGAAGCAGCAGCAACAACAAAAGCAGCAACAACAGAAGCAGCAGCAATGCGGCAGCAACAATGTGCCAGCAACAATGCGGCAGCAACAATGTGGCAGCAACAGTACAGCAGCAACAACAGTAGCAGTCAACTTTCACCAACCTGAATCAGGCTTTCGCTCCGGTAGTGATGCCGGTTTTACGTTTTCTTCAGGTTTWGCATTATCTTCACTTGTCACTCCAGGGATAAACGGGAGGTTGGCTGGTGGAGTATTTGACAATGGTGAATTTCTCAATTCCATCAGGAATTTACGATCATAGATAATCCTTGTACCTAAGAAACAATAAACCATTTAATACTCACTTACTACCCACCTCGAAGCTCATTTTTACATTGACTTACAAATTTCTCGAGCGCTGATTGGTTATTTTTTATTATCAATGAGAGGACAAAACAAATAAAGCTGCCGTCACCGAGTGCATGCTCTTTCCATTGGTTGTTTTGATCGCTAAAAATGAGAATTTTTTTAATCATTTTTGTTATTGTAAAAAAAACAAATACAAGACATCAGTTTTTTATGTGTCTGTCCTCTTATTGTATCCACACTATGCCTCGTGGATTAACA